CAGAACTCGGGAAGAGACGCATATAACAAAACAATGCGTATTTAAGCATGCATATAAATAAAAATACACTTGATTTACAGGCCAAAATACACCTGAGTAAATGCATACGGCAAATATACAAAGAAGCAGAGTTAAACACAAAGAAAACAATATTGTTCACATATCAATTTTCCATCGTCTTATTTGGGTTGCAGAGATTCACTTGAATTATGAACTTACACACTTGAAAGTATTTGTTGCAATATTCTTTAAGAAACTTCGAGTTAATCCATCGTAACTTCAGTCTTTCCCCAAAAAGATTGGTCACGCTTCGTAAATGAAAACATGTGACGAGTTGGTGACTACAGACGGTTCCATCTGCAGCACTTATATCATGTTCCATGGGTGCCGACGTAACACAAGTGCCGTTTCTGGTAATGAATTTAATAAAATGAAAGTTGTGGCTATTTCTAGTTGCGCGACTGGCAAAGGTGGTGAAGGGCACCAAGGGCTCCCTTGGACCCTTCAAATTGGGTCAAGGGCTGCATTCGAAATCTACCGTAGATAAACCGTGAATCTGTGTACCAGCATCGACGCAGTGTCGCTGACCGCGAGGTCCTACGGTTCGAGTTCCCACGGTAGCAGGATTTTCGACTAGCTTGTCGGCTAGGTCGAATTCACCCGCGGGCGCAGTCTGGAGGAGACTTCAAGCGGCCGGCTGAGGTGATGGGAACTTTTCTGTGGTTTCTCCGATCAACTGCAGGCGAATGCCGGAGCAGTACCCTAACAAATTGGGTCACGGGCCGCACGCGATCTTTCCTTCCTCTTTCAATCCTCACTCTTCAATTACAAACCAATCGGGAGCTTATACCGGGTTCATGCTAGGACGGTGTCACGCTGGTGCGAGATACCTGGTTGGTGAAAAATACCCGCAAGTAGGGTGGCGCCGGATCTTGACAACCAGCGGGGCAAACATCAGCAAACTCCAGTCACAAAAATAAGCACTATACTTACGGGATAATATACTTTAATGTCGCGCCCGGAATCATTAATTAGTCAATCCAATTGTTCCTTTACGTGGACGTAAGTGCCCATAGTCGAGTAGCGGCTTCCCTGGAGCGCCAAGCGAGACAGAGTAGAAATATTCTGTGTATTGTGATTTTAAAAATAAACGAGATACACAGTTTACCTGTGGTGGATTTCGAAAGCAGCTCTGTTCACACCCAATACTAAGCGTGCTGGACACTGTTTGAAACCAAATTTTATCAGCCCTCACAGAATTAAATTCCGTGGAGGTAGCAGGTATCTTGTGGTAATTCATAATATGGTACCATATTTCACAGAATTGTTCAAATGTTTCTCTTTTTTCAATTAATTTATTTATTGTCGCTTCCATAAGGTCATAAGTTACATGTAAATAGCATGAATTGTTTTACGACACAGTAGAATAGTATATAATTCGTTTAAAATTTGAGAGATTTTTACTAGCAGGTTTTATAGATTTCATTCCATTCTTGTTCGTGTTTGATTTTCCTGTAATTGACTCTTCCTCATGATATAGTAATAACTTTTCACACATATTCAAAGTCCGTTTATATTTGATCTAAAAAAATATTTAAAAATCTTATTAGTTTTCTTCGTAATTCTACATTTTTTATTTAAATGAAAATTCTTTTATGCAAATTTTTGAGTGGAACGAAGCATAAGCATATCTCAAAGAGAGGTAGTTTGTTCTTTCTTTTTCCAGAAATCTTCGAGCGTTTTTGATCTGTCACAATTATAGAAAAATATTTCAATGCTTATTAACATTTTTTATAAACAATTTAACATTCTGAAGTGACAACGGAGATCTATAAAATGCAAACGTAAGAAAGAATAAAACGATTGAGGTTCACATTCCACTCTACGTAAGAATCTTCGAAGGTTTCTCGTAATCGCCACGTGTGATTCAGAGCCATGGACACGAGAGAAGCACTCCTGCGTAGGCAACCTCGTGAGGCCAGCTGGCCTATAGGTAGGCGACAACAGTTCACCTCAAATGACATGAAATTGCGTTCATACACCTCGTGAGATAATAGGGACTAAGCACTAGGTAGTGTACAGCAATCGACAGCAATCTCTCTAAAATCTGTAACACTTTTCAGCATCTGCGCATGTGCAGTTCTAGTCCCGCATGCTCAGAAGGTCGATATTGCTGTCGATTGGTGCACGTAACGGCGTGCTTAAAGTCCACAACTAGCAGGCAACTTCTATCGCATGCTAATCGATTATTCGATCATGCTATATCGAATTTACTCCTAACTCTGGTAGAAGAGTGTGTCGCTAACTATGTGTCTTTATGCAACATGAAGTTGGCGGAGTTAATCTGCGCCCGCCCACCAACTTACACATTATAAAACAGGATGTGGAATTAAGCGCAAACTCTGCCACCACCGTTCGATACTTCTTTCGTTTCGACCTAAACATTTGTGTAAAAACTCATTCTCGACTTCATCCGCAATTGGCCTAGAGAATGCTGTTCGAAAGTCCCTCAAATTTCTTTTTCGGCGATATGCAGACGTGTTGGTGAAGGAGAAAGTTTCCTCTGTAAATCCTGCTTTCGAGGCTAAACATGTGGTGCAAACAATATTGTTTTTTATATAATTATATTTTTTAATTTTTACTAATTTATAATTATAATTCCAATAACCCAAATAATTTAAAATATGAATTAACTAAATGTATTTAAAAAAACTGTTTAAATAATAAAACTAGCCGCGACGCATGCATCACTGTTACCTAGGGAAGTTTTAAGCTTTGGGTCGCGTAAGTAAAACCCATGGGTCCGGAAATAATTCACGATGTACGTGTTTTAGTTGTTTTGCACGAGGAAATTAACTTTCATCAATTTTTAAATGCCACATGCTTTTAAGCAGGCTAAAACGATACGAAAGGGCTGTAGAGAGCTCTACCTTGAGAGTGAGATCCTATTTTCTTTAGTGTTAGTCTTTTCTTTCAATGTCTCACTGGTTTTCTCTCTGCCCACATAAAATGAGTCATACGTTTCACCGCTCATGCCCACTGAGCTCTTGTCATTATCGATAAATGTGCGTTTATGAATTACACACATAAGCACATTCACTTTGCCTGCACCCAGCACCAATGTTCAATGACAAAGCATCACCAGTTTTTGTTACTACACTCTACATAATATGTTAAAAAACTACACCATCCTTAAATGAAAATGAATGCTTATGCAATATGAATTATTAGGTGGTAAACGCCCAATATAAAAATGTACAGAGCAACAGGAGATAATATACATTCAAATGACTTGGCGCACTTACCTGTAATACAAATTCCACATCTGGGGGCAGGGGAGTATTCGAAAAGGGCACTCGTTGTCGACTTTCGCCTGAACTGCTGAGATCGGATAGTTCGTGTATGTGCTGCAGTGCGCGTAACACTTATTTTCATTCACGCAATTTAACAGAATGCACCTGAAAAGACTTTCAGAATTTAATTCTCAATAAGTGACAATCTTGAAATGAAAGTGCAACTAAAATAAATTATCTTTACAATTTCCAAATATAAAGTTGGTGATTTTGATTTGAAAGAGAAGCAGCGCTTCTGACATACAAATGCTACGCCCTTGAAAACCAATAAAATGGTTAAAAATTGCTTTCCATATTATTATGAACTAAAATAGTATATTATGCAACTAGTTGATAATGTTAAGCTTTAGTGAAAGAGTGCTTCTTATGAAAACTAACGACGTAAGAACAGAGTTTCCAATTTGAACGAATGCAATAAACATTATAAACGCGCTGCATACGTTATTTTTTGATATCATTATAAATTTATAGGAGATTTAAAGTTATTATAAATAAACAAATGTATTGTGATGACACTTTATTGTATTTGACATCTGTGCGAGAAAACGGTTGGCGGTTCGGTTTACTCTCCACGGTTCTCTCGCTGCGATTGGTCGAATATGTGAGGACGTACATACATGCCATAAACTACAATGTCATTATTTAAGCAATAAAATGTCCCTTTACGAATGATTTATTATAAAAGAGAAAGCTTTTTATAATGATGGAATCATTTTTTTTAAATATATTGGACCATTTTACTACTATTATCTAATTCCCCTTCTAGGATGACCCCTGCCTTGTTTGCCTAGGTGGAAATCAGCTCTTGGGTGTGGTTAAGTCAGATACCCAGTAGCTCGGGGAATCTCCAAAAACAATGAAACAGTTTCGATTTCGATTGAAAAATAGAAGTATTTGATTGTGTTATTCTGTCTATTCTCATATTGTGCATAGCGATCGATCGGCATGAAATATTTGCTACACCCATTTTGCGATATACAGCAGCAACGTTTTTTATATTCTTGATATGTAAATATCTGTTATACAGTGCATCCGTTAATACTATATTACGTTACTGACGTATCCGTGAAGACCATTTTTGTTAAAATGTTTGGTTTGTAGTGTTTAAAGGGATTTTTATTTTTCGTTCTCGAGAAGTGTGCGTGCTACTTTTTGGAAAATAATTTGTGCAGTTTTGTTCAGCAGCATTTTTGCTACTGCGAATTATTTGCATTATCTAATGTCAAATTAATCAGTTTCATCTTTATATCTCTAAGACACATATAACACGGACGCATAGACTTTGTCACCTAAACCACAGGAAGATATTTCATTGAGTTTTTTGACAACATACGTTTTGAAGTTAGGTAAGTACAAGTAATATTTGAAATATATGTAAAATATATTCTTTATTATTAAAATGTACTCTTTAAGAACAACTTGAGCTCATATGTACGTTTTCTTTCACCGTGAAATGTTAGTTAATTTCTATAATCAATTAATTAATGAAAACGATATCCATAATGAAGCAATATTTATTCACCTACAATCTAGATCAATCTCATTTTTATTATTCTGTAAGAAGTAGTTGTTTAAGTTTGTTTCTTTGAGATTTCATGATACCTACCTTCCTTTACTGTACTTAGTCTGAAACGCGTACTCCCTCAGTACATTCGGGAGCCAGAGGATAAGAAAGTAGAACAAGTTCTGTGGAAATTTCTTTAATGAAAAACTGATGTTACAATATCACGAGTCCACTGCAAATGACTGTCAACAAGATCGCTAGTTTTTAAAGTAAGATTCATTAACAAATAATATAAATAGTAGTAAATATTAATTAAAACAATCTAATTGACAACAACGTACCAGGGACGAAGTTCGTAATATTACCAATTCTTGCTCTACATTTTCTACGATAATTGTACTCTCACGAAGGTCTCGCCTAAGGACGAAGATTAACTAATCAGCGACATTCACTTCGAGACTTAGCTTAAGTGGATAGCTTCCTGTTTACTACATTTTTGAGTGTTTACCGAAAAGAAGTCGGATGCCATATTCGTAGCCATCTTTAATCATACTAGAGTAAACGCAAATATGGGAATTCTCGAGACAGTGACAACCGGTGTAAAAAGTAACTAAAAATTCATAGAAAATTCATTTAAAGTATGATCTCTTGAAATAGTTAAAATTACCTGTTAATACAAATTAAAAAAACGATATAAGAATGACAACTTTTTAAGATTGTGGAGCCGTTAACAGTTCATCGATATTCAGCAATTCGATACTTAACAATTGAATACCATTGCAACTTTTTAGTCGATGGCCAGCTCGACTTTACATTATTAATTTCTGTATCTTCTTCATTATTGAAAAAGTGTTGCTTCAGTTACGGGGAACCGCTTTATATGGATATATAGACACCACACACACACACACACACACACACACACACACACACACACACACACACACACACACACACTCACACTCACATCACACAACACACGATACACATCGTAACAGCTGCACAGCACAAGAACTCAACCACTGACGAGACCAGCCAGACAATGCTCGATTTTGGACCACTTCTAAACAACTCGAGTTGCAAAAATTGTACTAATACTTCAATCCAACGAAAAGACAAACTTGGCAACTTGGCGATAAGTTTTTATTACAAGCTCAAAAGGAGTCATTTGAAGATTTCTGAATCAGTTACTGTTGTTTTACAGTACATTTTACCCAGTTACGAGGTATTTTTTCTGATGGAAAGGAAAGTACATACATCTTCCTGACTTTGAGACTCATTGCGGAATATTTGAGTATTTTGTTCGTGGTTGAATTCATCTCGGGTTTAGTGATGCTTGATCAAAGCATCTATATTCATAGATCAATGATCGTTTTCAAAATCAACGCAACATATCACCATTGATTAACGGCTTCAAGTGTTCGAATTAGTATTAGAGAAGCGATTTCAACCTCAAAAGAGAATTTTCAATGCCATGTTTAAAGGAGTTTTTCATTTTTGAACAGAGAAGATAAATTAAAGCAAGTCATTTTTATGATGAGATATAAGAATTGTTTGATAATAATAAAAATAATACTAATAATAATATAATATATGTATGAATAATAATAATAATAATAATAATAAAAATATATCTTCTCCACAAAAATATATTTTGCATGTTCTTAAGCAAATATATTTTGCAATTTCTTTTGAAGCTGTTATTTCGTTAATAAACATCAAAGTTTCATCTCTGTTGTAAAATTTTGAAGAATTTTATCCCTTTTAAAGATGGTATTTGTTTCCAGTTTTGGAAGAAGGCAACACTTTCACTTCCCTCAGTTCGTTATTCAAATTCGCATCTCCTGGGATATCACCGACGTCGAGTGTGCTCGAGAACTCGAGTCCCTAAAGCGCATTCTTGACCCAGCTTTTGAGGGCGCTAGTTGTAAGTATCGGTTAGCAGTACGTCGATTGACATCAGGCATAGTGACGAGTCCATTTCCGACTCTAGCACTGTGTTCTTCACCAGGATCTCGAGAACGCTGGAGTAGAAGTCGGTGAGAAGCCTACCGTGAAGTAGATAAGTTCGCACAATCGAGAGCACACCGTGTCGCACAATCGGGACGGTGTACGTACTCCGGCACGATCTCTAGAATGCCGGTGAAGGAGTTGTGAAAAATGCACCAAGCGACACGAGGATTATCAGCGAGATAAGAAAATGTTCGTACACTTAAGGCCGTAACAGAGCGGGTAATCCATAATCACGAGCACGTTAGTGTGTGATCTGGGGAGCAGTGCGCTGAGCCAGATCAGAATAATCGAGTTTTGAGAGAAATCCAGGCATTAGAGACACTAACGGTCGACGTACTCGTTGAAATTCTCGAGCACGCTGATGTGGAGGCGGCGAACAATAAGCAGCAGCACGATGACGAATGAGTTGGTGAAGAAAGTCTTGAACACGATATCTTAAGTGAGCGCGCACTCCACCAGGACCTGGAGAACGCTAGTGTAGAGGGAGTGAGCAGTGCTTCGAGCGACATCATGGCCATGCACTCGACACCTTAATTGTGAGCGTACTTCGCCAGGAGATTCAGCGCGCTGGAGAGTCGTACGCCGAAAGACAGCTGGACGATGAAGGTGTTTGTGACGAGTCGAAGCGCTCCAGCCCCCTAAGGCGTACTTCTCCAGGATCTAGAGTCCGTTTGTGTATGAGCGGTGAACAATGCGCGGGGCGGCACGAAGTTGACGAAGGATTTATTAAAGAATCCTTGTATTTATTAAAGAGTCCTTGCATTTGCATAAATATGCGTGTTTTCCGACACAAACTCGAGCACGTTCTTGTAGGAGGCGGTGAGCAGTGCGTCCAGCGACAGCGGGATGATGCACGAAATGTAAAGAAGTGCGAACTCCTCCAGAATTTCGAGGATCTCTGGAACGATGGTGTAGAGACAGAGAGAAATGCTCCTTACATCAAATCCGTAAAGAAGTTGTTGAGGAGTCTTTGCAACACAACGTAACTGTGCGCGTACTCCACCAGGATCTCGAGCACGCTGGTGAGCAGTATGCAACTGGACTGCAGCAGGACGACGAAAGAGTTCACGGCAATTCCACGCACTCGAGACACGAACTGTGGGTGTACTCCGCCACGATCTAGAGAACGCTGATGTAAGGACGGTGAATAATGTTCCGAGCAACATCAAACCTGAAGAGGAGTAATTGTATTCATCCACTCGAAACCCTAACAGCGGGTGTTCTCTACAATGACCTCAAGCACGCTGGCGTGGGGGGGATGAGTAATGCTCCGAGCGTCATCAATCCGAGAAGGAATTGTTGCGTTCATGCACTCGAGATTAACTATGGGTGTACTCCGCCTTGATCTCGAGCACGCTGGTGTAGGTGCCGGTGAGCAGCGCGCCGAGCGACATGAGGACGATGAAGGAGTTGGTGCAGAGTCGCCAGCGGCAGCGCCCTAGGCCGCCTGGCTTCTCCCAGCGCATGACGGTGTCGATGACGGCCGGGCACAGCAGCCCCAGCGTCGACACGAAGATGGCCCCGACCAGCGAGATGACCGGGCCCAGGCTGGGCACCGCCGCCGCCACGCCCACTGCAAAGGACAAATGTATAACTCCCCAGCAAGGCAACTCGCTGAAACGTGAATCTTTATCTTAAAAGCCGTTTCGATATTTTTTTCCCTTACGCACAGCGTGAAGCGCCATATCTTATATGAGCATGTACACATGCGCAATCTTCAAGGTTGCGTTAGAGTCATGGCCTTAAACGCTTCACCGCCAGAATTAGTGAGTGGGAGAGTTAGAAACCACTCGGGTGTTTTAATAATAATAAAAAAAACATTTGGACCGTTACAAAACCGTAATTGTATTTACCGAAACATTACTTAAAACGGTTATATGCTTTACTCTAATGAAAATAAACTTGAATTTTCACAGCGATTCTATCAAAAGGGCTACCGAAATTATTTTAAGGGGCAACGAATTCGCATAATTATCGGGAACATGGTTTTAAAAGTGAATGTTAGTCTTTATTTAAAAATATATCGTCCCAAAGACCATTGCCACAATTAACATTGCCTATATGAACTATATTTTTATTCCTATATGAACGCTGTTTGGCCTATCCTCCAATGAAAGATTTGAATTGACTTTTGAACGGGTGATGTTGAATGAGCAATGTGGAATGTGGAATGAGGGAAGGAGAAAAAGGGAGGACCCCGATAAAACCTGTCGTGAACTCGCTTTAGCTGACTTTAACTGACTAGCTCTACTTTAGCTGACACAAATTTTACATGGATTGACGGAAGATGCAATTTATCTCAAGCCTCCGCAATGGAAACGAAACGTCTGACCGCTACACTACTAATTTATATTATAAAATATTTCGATTGTTATGTTCATTTCTTAATTGCTGCCGCAATTTATTAAAGTAAAAATAAATACGTTAACTTCGGGCGAAGAAGCTATATTTAGCGCTAGGGTGTTCAGAAGCGCTAATGTATTAAAAGAACATTCTGAAATTAAGTAAAAACTAAGCGAAAGAAGGCATACCTGATCCAACCAAAACGATTCAATGGAATTTATTAGATTTGCGCTAAACAGTGTATTACAACCTCCTTGAAAAAAATTATTTTGAGAATCATTTTTAATTTGGTCATACGTAAGCAACTTATGTGCACAGGTACTGTCTAACGCCAAACATTTGAGTTTCGAATATTTATAAACATACTGTATCCCTAATCCTAGCTAAGCCGAACTCGAGCAATGACCTTTGCTAGAACGTACACAAGAATCGGCGTCTTCGGAATTGTTCATTTACAATCATGTGCTAAGTGATCACGAAGCGTAATGAAGCAAAACCGAACGTATCAAGACCAACACTACTCTAAGCTACACTAGTTTGCATTTAATTTCCGGCTGCACACTGCAAGGCTATCTGCATTCACCCGCCTATAATTTCATTTGCATTCCACCTTTCAGTGACGAATCATCTTTTGTATCATGATTTTCGTGATCCTTGACGAATCGAATCAAGGACTTCAGGTCTCGGAAGAGCGGCTGCGGAGACCTCGCGCCAACATTGACCTCCTTGGATTGGACGCGCGGCGTGCGTTGATTGATTTTGCGGCTGAAATATCGATAATGCAGGGCAGTTTCACACTTTGTAGGTTCCTGGATTGTGAGTATGTAGGCGGCCAACGCGGAATAAGAAAATACAGAACTGTTTTAGTAAAACAAATACCGTTTTCACTCGCATAATAAACCTGAGAGGCGTCAAAGGAGGTGATTTTAAGTCCATAACATTTACCAATTGAATTGGCAGATCCTGAAGCGGCTGAAATCTCATCGCTTTTAACATCTTTCCCCTTTTCGTGAATACCAGTGGAGGAGGACTTATTCGAACTAAATACTGACATAGGAGTCTCGTAGAGCAACTATTAATTTCAGCTACTACTAGAAAAAATATTCAGAAATGCTTACGAAAATCTGTTTTAATTCGGATTGGGAAATAGTTAATTGATGCTATATTATAGAGAGACGGATTGAGCTATTGGATTTATATTTGAATATACATTATTAGAGAGATGAACTATGTGGCGGATGATAAGTGGCGAGTTTAATTGTTTATGGAGTTTTCTGATACGAACCAAGGGTCCTGTGACGTTATTGGTAGGGATGTTTTACATAGTTTTGCTCCTGTTTAGATTTATTTGCGAGATATTTATCCATATAGGGCAGACAAGAGCATAAGTGGTCTAATTATTGTTTTATTTAAAACTATTGCATTGATTTATGATAATGCGCTTTTATTGTTGAGTAGGGTCTTTAATTATATTAACTTGTTATCAGTGTGTTGTTTTTCAGTTCCATGGTTTTTCCGAGTTTATTTGGTGTCGAAATTCGGGCCAAGGTATTTCACTATTCGGATTTGAAGGATTCATGGGATTGTGTTATTGTTTATATGAAGTGAGGCAGGGGTGAAAAAATGTTGCTGATTTTGTCGAGTTAAGTTTAATTTTCCATTACTTGGATCAATATTCTATTTTATCTAAATGCTTTTGGATTTCGTTTTTTATGAGGTAAATTGAATAAATGGACTTGTAGAATATTGTGTCGATCGCGAATTGTATTGTATTTGTGTGTAGTGGGAATGTCTGCGGTGTAAAGATTGAAAAGGGTGGGAGATGAATAATTCTTGGGGAAGTCCTGCTATTATTTTTCGCGGATTAGATATGTGGGTTTCAACAGTAACAGTGAAAGTAGAGCCTGTAAGTTTTTATGGCTAGGTAGGTGTGCTTGTGTGAGTTTGTATATCGGGTCTTGATGCTAATTATGTAATCAAAACAGTTGTTACAAGTGCTATTTCAACAGAATGTGAATTCACGGGGGAATACTGGATATCCTCCATTTCAAAAGAGCTTGATGGTCCCTGCTGAAAAATTGTTAAAGTCTTCCCATGGGTACAGTTAATATACAATAAGTGTCCAATTTTTATTCAAACATTCCAAAGTATGGAAATCATAAACGAGACAAGAAAACATTTCTGGGAAAGATTTTAGGATTCATTCAGACTACGTTGCGTAACCGAGATGGTCTCCACTTAATTCTTGGATTCGTCCGTTCCGAGAGTTTTTTATACCCTCTCCTTTTGGAGAAAATTGTCAATTCGTATACATAAGTTTACCTATGGATATAACATCGACGATGTTTTCAAAACATCGAAACATTCATGTTTTGATCACTACTTTTTCAATGTTTTGTTTGTGAAATTAAATGTCCTGTAATGGCAAATTGTAAACGTTAAAATATGAAAGCATTAATGTTAACTAATGTGTTGAATTTAGCGAACGCTATTTGCACTATTACGTTGATCTGAAAGATATTTTTCGTCCCAAAGGATTACCGCGATATCCTGGTATTTTATGTGTCGTTCCACGTATTTTGTAGGTATCTACCTCCAAAAACTCTTGAAAAAATGTGGATCAAATTTAGAATTCATCTAGAAGAATTTTTAATGTCCGATTGTCAAACATTTTGTCATTTCGTTTGCTTGAAAAAAAAAATTCTATATGAAATATTAAAATTGCATCTTAACACCCTCACGTTTCGGCCGACCGGATGGCCGAGGTGGCTACAGCGTGGGGCGACTCTGCACCTGTCTGAAGGTGCGCGGGCTCGAGTCCCGCCGTGGGCATGGTGGTTGCTTGTCCCTTGTCTTTTACGTGTGGTGCTCTCGCGACGTTTTGAGTCTGCAGCCCACGTGTGTGTTAGTGTCTCGTGGAAGGGTTTGTGTCCCCATGAAGGACATTATGAGTACCCGGCAGTTATCGCGTGCGCGGTTCGTTCTGCATTTAGTGGATGTGTCACTACGGGAATTTAGCGCACACTGTCACCACAATTTGGAACTTCTTCCATTGCGACCTAAAAGTTACACCAAACGTCCTCCTCGACTTTCGCCGAAATCGATATCGAAATTCCTGTCGGATAATGTACTCTACCCTATGCTTACACTCCCTCAATTTGGACATCGTCTTTTTAAATCGCTGCAAGCATACAAAATTGATACAATTGACCGAGACGCGGCTCATCCTGGACAGCCACGAATGCATTGACCCGACCGCGGAAGCCTACGAACGCATCGGCGTGTCAAATCATCTCTGTTCTGCTGTCGACGTCGCATCCCTGCATCGCCCCGCGCCACTCACCCGAGAGGCAGGCAACGGCGAGCTTGAAGACGACGCGGCAGGCGCTGCGGGCGGTGGGGTGCTCGGGCAGCTTGGGGCCCAGCGCCTCCAGCACCACCGAGTTGGGCACGAACAGCAGCAGGCCGTACGTGAGCAGCACGGCACCGGCCACCAGCAGCTTCACGGCCTGCGCCAGCCTGCGCACGCGCACACACACGCCTCGCATTCAAATGGAATTCAGCTACCGTCTGGGGGAATATTCTAACGACCGACTTCACTCTTTGAAAGCTTTCTGTGCTTCCGCAAAGCAATAATATTAATAATAATTAATAATAATAGCAATAATAACAGTAACAGCAATAATAACAATAACAATAATAATAACACACATTAAACGAAGATTCAAAGATGACATAATAATGCGAGTTTCAGCGTAATGCTGATTTCCAGATTGTCCTCAATTACAGAACAAATGAAACAAAATGAAATAACAAAACTTTGGTGTAGTATTTAACAATACCAGGTGAATGAATGAGCAGTTCTCTAACAAAGACGTTACGGACCGCGCGCCATCTATCTTCCCCTTCCTAGGCAATCCTCACACACACATACAAACACGCACCTCCCCCCCCACACACACACGCTTACACGATTTACACTATCAACGTGTCGGGAGACCGGTTGGGACCTTAGAGCTTATCACGGCAGGGGTGGTGCACCCCTGGTGGAGGTTTGGGAACGGGAAAACTCGCAAGCAGATGTGTATGTCCGCGTCAAACAAGTTTCAGCAGGTTAAGAGCGCCACCATATAAGGTTTCCTACTCTTGCAGTATTAGGGTCTAAAGTAGTTGATGCAACCCAGAGACAAATTCTCAGACACTCGTAAGACGTTCATTTTACATAAAGGTATCATGGTCAGGTTGTAACTTCTCAATTGTCAAAACGTCACAGTTACGTTATTACCGATTCCCGTCAATTGCTTCATCTTAGAAAAATAAAGGTCTTTCTCAACGTCAAACAACTATTTAATATCAAGACTTTTTTACTCTTTACATGTTACAACTTAATCTCTCAAAAGCTATTAATACTAATATTCCTAGCATAATATGGATACTTTTGCCTAAATGTATCTGAGAATCTTTCGAACTTGTCTCCACGACCTCGAAAAGCATTTGTTCTTGATTATTTCGGGTCTTCTATCATAATAACTCGTTGCTAGGAGAAGACAACTGACAACGGTAACCCGCTAGTGGGTGTTCATAGCGCTATGGTTAGAAGGTCCCTCTTTTTGACATGGCTCCATCACAAAGAATGGCTAAATAAAAAATATCCAAGTGCCAAAAATGTACATTGTTCAGGAAGTCTTACACAATAATATTCTGTAACTAAATGGCTTTAAAATGCTAATAATATTTTCGAAGCAAATTGTATAACTCTAAATATTGATCAACTGTTTACATGCCTAATCTAATACACCATTAGTTGACCCGGATTATTGAATTATTTTTCATCATTGTATATTATTCTTGAATATCGAATTAAACAAAATAGGAATTTATTTCATAAATCATGCTAATCTAGAACGCCGCGAAGCTTCTTATCAAATACATTCATCAGACAACGTAAAAAAAGATCCTTAACACGAAGCATAATAATTGCAATAATTAAACTGTAATAATATTCCATTTCAAACAATTTTGTTTGCACAGGAGTTATTACCAACTTCTTTATTTCTTTTAGACTTCGTACAACTCAGTAAACATTTCTATTTGTAAAAATATTTTCAATTTTTTTTTTGCACAAATTGTTGTAATATTCAATGAGAGTAAGGCACTCTTGGTTTTTGTAGATTTTGCTCACTTGTGGTTTGTAGCCCAAAAAACTCGTGGGATAACCATCCACTCATAAGCAAAACTTACACGAGCCTACGAGTACTATCACTACTATCTATTCCTATTCATTACATGTGTTAACATTATTTTCCGTCTCAGAAAAACTGAACGATTAATGTTTTCCGCTCCTACGAAGTCTAATCTCAGGTTTATGGAGTCTAATCACAATATATTTTTATTTTAATTACTTATTGTTTGTTATTTCTTATTTGAATATCAATTTAATATTTGATCATTTTATTTTGGAGATTAGAATTTGTTTCTTGATCAAGAGATTTTTAAACAAATAGCGAGATGAAATGTTAAAGACTACTTGGTAAAGCGTTGTAAAATTATGTACTAGCATAACATGTCCTTTTTTCTGATGCTTCGTAGACACTGACACCTGATGGGATTTTAATCTGCATTGTAAAAATATCTCTATTAGATTAAAATTCTTCGCGACACCCTTTGAGTAACTCGGTGATGAAAAGCAAGGCGGCATAGGTGTAGGCAACGCCTAAAATTGAAACCACTCGCTTCTGCTGGCCAAAACATGGGATGGGCCTCGGAGCAAAAATGCTGAACTCCCTCTCCCTGATCCGTGACGACACTGCTGATAGGCTTCCTGCCGGCGCGAACCGGAAGGAAGTGCTACAAAGCAGAGCCTGACCTCGGGCGGATGTTTCACAGTTAACGTGGCACACCAACACCAACAATCCTCAGTTACGTAAGAGTAAAGGGTATAGAAAAAAACTTGTTTTAGCACTAATAACATTGTGATCCCTTTATACTACAGGTGATTTTCAATATTTTTCAACTTGCGGCTCACCTAACGAAGAATTACAAATCTAACTACATTATTCTAAGTTTAAAGTTAATCTTTAAAAACCTTTGAAATCTGTATTAATTGTTCTTTTTATGAGAAAATAGTAACTCTTATTTTACGTTTTGTTATGTATAATACATATACACAATATAATATATTATATATAAAGCCCGTATTTTATATAACTTTCAGTAACCTATCGATTCTTATTACTCGGGAATGCTAGTACATAAACGATTTTAAGGAATCTATTAATGTCGTACGTAATATATGAAAACTCTTCTTTTGACAGGCACTTGTGCAGTATTAAATACACTTTCACAGTGACAAGGTAGTCTATAGCATTATTGCATCCAGAAAGTCCAACTAAGCGTAGCCTCAGATCTCTTACACAAGGTTTTGGTCACAGCCTGCCAATTTAAATACGTTATAAAATATGTTTTATATTAATGTTTATCTAAACATGCTATTGTAATTGCATAGTATTTGAGGTAGACTGCATCGTTTTCATTACTTGTTGTTTCAAGGCTAGACGCGTACAAGGTATATCTTTCTTAAACATTGAAAAAAACCTCTTTTAACAAAAACTATTGAGGGAATTCTGCGATAAAAACAATAATGACAACAATTGTTGTTGGAATGATTGCTGAAAGTTTCGAAGGAGGAATTTGTGTCTTAAAAAAATTTTTCCACAGTTTAATGTTCATATATGATTTGAATATTTGCATGTTCATTCAGGTAAGTAGAATGTTTTATAAGTTACAAATAAGTGATATTATGTCTAATCTCAAACTGTTTTTGAACTATACTCAAGGACTGAGAAAGTTACCGAACGACGCCGATTTTTTCCGTCTGCCTCGTAATCTGGAAGAGCCCAACAACGCGTTTTAACTTTAATGTATCAGAGGTTGCTGTAAAATAACTCACCCGATGTCACTAAATGCAGATTCTCCGATTCTTAAGGATTCTTAAGTAAATAGAAACTTTAAAGATCAACTTATTGAAACGTATAATTTAAACAAAGACAAAATACAGTCAACAATTACTGTAGGTAAAAGTCCATCTATATGTTTTACAGATTTTAAGATTTTACAACTTGATGTGGTAATTTTACCTACCAAAACCTTCCTTTTTGTGTTGCCAATCTTTCTAGCACTAAGACTGCTTCAACACAAGTTTGATAAATAATTTTCAAAATTATTCACGCAGACGTATCAGTTTGCCTCTGCTTTTAACGCACGATTACATAACTTTCTTTTCCTATGAAGGATTCATAAGACGAGAACGTAAAAAACAAAATATTTTGATAATGTCTGAGGCTATCTTGATTAAATGTCTTTTAGACATGACTTTCTCTAAAGCGTATTCGTACGATATCGGCATCAATCCAGGGTCTTTAAATTATTACTTTTGTAACTTTTTAGTTATTAATTTGTTTGTGACATTTTTAACATAAAAATTGTATATTTTAAAGTGGTAAAACCAAATTTAATGTCGTTGTGTACGGAATTACTCTAGTAAATATTTGTTTGAATTCAAGTAAAAAATAATGAATTCTGTAGACAATTATGTTACATGCACATGTAACCAGCAATACGTTATCTGTTTCCTGATAAACGTATCTTACTTAACTTACAAACGGTGCGTCCTAGATTCAAATTCGATTTCCGGTGCCCCACAAGTTTTATTGCTTAAGGCCCAACGCACACAATGAGGACCTTGTAGAGAGGTTTATCTTTTTTCCATGTATGGCGCAGGTGAATATAAACAGCAGATTTCCCAAATGTTTAAAAAATTGTATTTACTGTTTGATTTTCTGTGCAATTTAATAGAACGGTCTAATTATTTATGTTTATCTAGAACGGGGTTCTAAAAACTAATTAGCGATCTCATTCCCCAAGGAGACGAAGGTGGTGCTAAGAGCTTCAGAATGAAGGGCGTGTGTGTGTATAATAAAACTGATACCTTCAATATTAGTGGTTAATGCATTATTAAAGGAAATAAATGACTCCGAGATTGTCATATTACACGTGTATTGGATTATATACGTGTGATACATCGAAATGAAACGCTCATCGCTTTCGCTCATTAAGATCTACTCGTATACACACAGAAGTACTAGAATGTACACAGCATTACTAGAAAGGCATATTTTAAATTTTAGATCGAATAAATAAAATGACATGGAGAAACTCATCAAATGGCACATGAACCCCTTGTTCCCGTTATCGTTTTAATTATTGGAAACCGGAGATAATAACATACACGATTACGCAACCTCAAATAAATTTCGACCTCCGTAAAAATAATGAAATTAAACTTTCAACTTCCTTTTCTTTTAAGTGACCACTATCACCTATATAATTTATAAATAGAAAATGAATGCTATTATCAGTCAAGGAATAATTTCCATACACAAAAATACGACAAATGTAATGCAACATACAGAATGAGTCATTTTGAGTGGATAATGCCATTTTGCTGAGACACACTTCGT